TCACCATGCATGTCCAAATAGAATAAATCAAGTATAAATAGCCTCTCTTCAGCGGTAACTTCCAAAGCCAACACCGAACTGACGGTTTCATCATACCGGTGCCCTAATACTTCTAAATATTAGAAGCAAATGCCTCTGGGTTACAGCATTTTCCTCTAGCTCAGCACTCATGGGGGCACGCAGGAGAGTGGGGTGAGGAGGAAGGGGAGCCTGGAATTCCGCAGCTCTCGGGGCACCGAAGCTGCTCTCGCTGCAGCCTTCCCCCGCAGCCCCCGTCTGCTGCAGCTCCTTGTGCGCAGGATTAGAAATAACACAAACCCCAGTATTGTCAGTGCTGCGTGCAGCGTTATGAATTTGAATGCAAATTACCCGAGCCACCTTAAAATGGTGGTTAATTAAATATCCTCTTACTTCTAAAAGAAAAAAAAAAACCCAAACCCCAAAACACCAGCAAAACAGCGAGTAAAACCCAATCAAAGACTGGAAAATGATAAGATTAACTCTCAAAAGTGCAGAGTGGCTGACCCAGCAGCTCTGGCGGTCAGTTGTTAGCGACATCTATGTCAAGTTCTATTAGAACCAAGCATTTCGTTCCTACTACTATTTTTTTTTTTTTTAACCTGAACTGATACATAGGCTGAAATCCAGACAGGGGGTGAGCTGATCTGTTGGCCTGGCATGACCCCATGCTGTTCGTGGAGCGCCCAGCCTCCTCCTCATCCACTTTGCTTTCCATGCACAGGAGAAAAAAAATGCCCTCGGTTATAGTTTATGGTTATTTTGCTCAATGCAAGACTATGGACTAATTTTGAATATTGCAGTGCCTAATTCCAACTGCAGGACCAGAGGCAGTGACATGATTATGCGTAACATAATCATAAATATTTGATTGCATAAATATACAGAGGAACAGAACAGCCGGAGAGTGCTCATTTGCTTAAAATTAAGCTTTGCTGAACTCAGGAGCTGGGATTGCTCCAGATCGGGTGCCCAGACTCAGTGAAATCGCTCTCAGGATGAGCTCTGCTTGATATCTGCTCTGCAGAAGAGCTCTGCTTTGGGTGTTTCCAGGCTATGAATAAAATAGTACTATCATAGACAGTATTAAAATATTGAACAATAAATAGTATTTTACAAGCTCATCACACGTTTCCTCACAACATATTGTAAACATAAACACTGAGGTATCAGAATTAATAAATATTAAATTCAGTTGGTTAAAAAAAACCCCAACACCCCACCACTTAAATATGATCCTGAACTTGAAGTTATTGGCCTGTAATTCTTGATTTGCCCCCTAAGATAACTTAATCCCTCGTGTGCTCATGCAGCCTAAAGTGATTTTGGAAAAAATAGCAGGATTTTGTGTGAAAGATGCAGCCCCTGGGCGCGCTCACTTCTTTCTCTTCATCAGCAAGTACTCTTCGATGTAGTTGATGAAAATGTCAAACTCTCCCATGGCCTTATAGATTCCGTTCTCGTTCATCTGCAGGTGAGATAAGCCAAGGTCTGAGGGTGACGATACTCGTGACATACGATCGCTAGATGTGTTCTCCCTCCACCGACATCTCCAGCCTCTCTGCCCAACCCCTCCGGTGAACCCACCAGCTGCTCCTTCAAGCATCGCCCTCTGGATTTCTCTGCCTTAGGTATTTATATTATTAAAGACTTCTGTGGATTCTGTTCTCTGCCCTAAGTCCAACCCCGCAGTGAAATCCACTGCCTCGCCTGGGGTGGCGGGTTCCTCCCAACCTCCGTGCCGCCACGCGAGCGGGGCCCTTACCTTATCGAACGTCTCCTTGATGTGCTTTATGGTTTTGCTCCTCTTCTCGCACGTGAAGAATCTGTGCTGCAAAGGGATGAGAACAACGGCTTCAACCACACGGGTTTCCTTCCCGGGGCGTGCGGCAGCGGCTCTCCCCTCGTCACTGCCGCCTCGCCGGTCTCCAACTTCCCCTTCCCCACGTGCAGCCCTG